AGTACAGTACAGCATGTGCAGGCGATGTATCGGTTGTGGTTACAGACATTCACTTATAGAAACAAGTGCGTGAATGAAGCAGTCACCGTCTATTTCAGGAGCTGCCACCCATAGACTGTAGGATAGAGTTGTACTGTAGTTCAGTGTCATTAACTGACACCATTCTCCTGTGTGTCTTCTCAGATTGCAGACACCTACTCCATCGTGTGTAAAACCCAGAAGAAGAAACCTCCCATGGAAAACAACGGATCAAAGACCCTCCCACGCTCCTTTGGCGGAGAAAGAGGATCCCGGGGCCGAGGCCGAGGAGTTCAGGGCCAGGCGCGTTCCCAGGAGGAGCCCTGCTACGAGCCGGTAGGAGACAGGTCCTGGTCCTCGAGTGCAACGGCCGAGGCTGACCCCGCGTACGCTACCATCGACACCCACCGGAAACGGGAGCAGGCGGGAACCAATAACAGCACAGCTGGGGGTTCTGCCACTCTGAAGAGGAAGAAGCAGACGTCGCAGCAGCCGGCGGCACCAGCGGCACCTCAAAGCTCAGGACCCACCGCCCTGCCTGCTAGAGGCCTGCCTGGTGGGGAAAACTTCTATGAGACCATCAGCGATGTGAAACAAGGGGGCAACAGCTCCAGCACCACCACCATCTTCACCTTCAATGACGGGATGGAGATGTACGTCACCGGCCTGTAGCTGGCTGAAAGGGCCCAGAACCCACTGGTACAGAGTCATGAAAGGGACCCTCCTGTTCACCGGCCAACAGGTTGCTGTACATAGATACAAGGCCCACTATAGACAAACAACACGAGGATCCATTTTGTGATGACATCAGGTACAAACAGGGTCTTAATCCAGGTTCAGACTTCCCTTGATTGGTCTGTACTTCAGAACCAGCCTAAGCCTAGTCCAGCCCAAATATGGACCAAATATGTTTCAACAAAAAAAAAAAAAAACAAGGATAAGAAACTGGAATATACATCTTCAACCTACTGTGTCACTGACCATACTCACCTGTTTGTGCATCATTTTCCATAATATCTTTATTTTTATATGAACACACACTCTTAAGAGTACGCAGTGTAACTCACATCCTGAGAAGAGCACACTTTAATATATATTTAAAAAAATAATGTGCATGCATCGTGCAAACACACACCTGAAAATAGACAGTAGTAGCAAGGAATAGGTATATTGGGAGTATGAGGCACACTGTTAGCTATTGTCACCCATGCACACATACACATATGCCTCATCTAGGGGAGGACTTATGTAATATAAGCAGATGGATGTCACAGAGATTTGCGGTGCTTAGCTCTCCCTGAGCAAACATCTCAAACAGGTTCTCTGTGCGCACTGGCCTGTTGCCTGGCAGACAGGATTGTGGTGCTTTGTTCAAACACAGGCCTATCATTTGTAGGCCTGCTTAAACAAAAAACAAAGGCTATATTCCTGATTTCACAAATTACCATCAGTGTGCCCTAAACTTATCATTAGCACTTATCAATAACAGCCTTCCTAATAAGCTTTAAAAAGTGAGTTTTGCTCCAAAATGTAATCTCCAATCAATAATCCACGCTCAGATTTGACAAACAACTGCAGCCAGAGGCATGATGACACACTCCAACACTCTCCCACACAGATACACACATACTTGGCAGAGTCATGCGGGGTAAAGCGATCAGGTCAGGGGCATGGAGTGGGTTGTGCAAGAATTTCCCCAGAGTGATATGGGTGACAGATTTCACAATGCGGAACCGCTGTTTCACTGGGATAAATGAGAGAAGAATATTTTGAAAAATAAGGAAGCGAAAGAGTGTCCAAAATAATACAGGACGCTTCATCCTGAGCAGTTAATATGTCATATCCTTTGGGCACTGTAAACATCTGATTTAATGACCATTATAATTTGCACTGGACAACCGCAGGGGTGTTTGGCTTAATTGCGCATTAACTTGCTGTAAAGAGCATTTCCGAGCAAAGTTCTTATTCGCTCTCTGGTCTCGAGTCAAGGCCAGAGAGCTCCCCATAGCTCAGCAGACTTAAGTCTGGTGGTTGAAATAGCAACAGAGGGCTCGGACTCCAAGGAAAATAAAGAGCTGGGTATGAAGATTACCAGCAAGTGTCCTTTGGAAGGTTGCCCCTCGCCCTCTCCCCACCCTCGTCTCCAGCCTCTGCACAGAGTTCTGCTCCATAATAAACAATGTCTTTCCCATGTAGCTTTGGGGAACATTAAAAAAGAGAGAGCAGAGTAAAAAAACAAAACATTAGAGGCTTAATAAATGGGCATAAAGATAAGAGGCGAGGAGGGATACAAACTGCTTACAGAGATGAAGATGCATTAGAATGATCTTACTGTGAGACACCCATGCAAAGCGAAGACGGGTTCAGAAGGGTCAGAGGCATACGTTTATAAATGCTACTGTGTCAGAAAGTATGTAAAAACAAATGCACTCTGTATTTTAATGCACTGTTTATTTTTTCTTACCTACTGACAATACCATTGGTTGAATAGCTCATGCCACTGCCATGAAAACAGTACGTTTATGTTGTTGGTGCAATTTTTTCCTGCTTGATGAAAAAAGTGCATGCTTTGATATATGGAGATGAAAACAAATATTGTGGTACTTAATTGGTCTCTTGTTCGTTAATCCTTTATGTTGTACTTCTTCTTTTTTTTGCCATGTGATGCAAAGCAGTGTTCAGTTATTTTCCAAAGCAGCAACTTGGAGGATGAAGGGAGAGAAATGAAAAAGATAGAGAGGAGCCACTGGGAGTTTAGAGCAGAGCGTTGTTTATCCTCCGCTCTGGGGGAGCAAGGATAGAGGTGAGGAGGGAGAAGAAGAGCAGCTAGTATAAGGCTTGGATGGGGATCACTGCAAATGGACACGGACCCAAAGGACCCTCCCCCCTCTCCCCTCTGATATGTGTTTGCGTGCATGCACACACTCACACACACACCATCAGACACACACTGCAGCATTAAGCCATGTGTGTTTCCAGTTTAGGGGATGAAGCACATTTTGCTTGCATACACTCCCTCCCCCAGCTGTGTTCATCCTCCAATAACCGTCACAGACCTCTTTTTTCTGTGCTTCACCTCTCTCCCTTCGCTTTGCAGGGGAGGGGCCTTTGATGTCCAGCTCTGAGGGACTCAGGGAGTGATACGAGGGGAGGAGGGGGTCGAAGCGGGGGGGTCAGTGGGTCAGGCCAACCCCAGTCTGATATCAACAATGCACCAACGGCTCAACTACTGTCTGATATGAGAAATGGCCAACAGCTGAGACGCTTAACTAGCTCTACCGAGGCCTCCGTTAGACAATGCTGGCTGGAAATCGCTATCACACTTGATCCTTTTTCTCTGGCTGTCACTTTATGTGTCACATTTTCTTTATCCTGAGAGAAAGCACTGATCTGATATATTTCGTCGAGCACTGTCAGCAGCACACGCTGATCGAGACAGATGTTCATTGCACAAACAAATACAGTATGATGATGTAAATGTGTAAAATACTCTGTTGCTGTTCTGATGTTGTTCCAATGTAACATACAGTATACAGTATATTTGTTGAAAAAAAAAAACAAGATGGTTATCACAGACACATTGTACTTTGTGGATGCAAAATGTTTCATGCTCTCCATGCAGATACAGATGCTGTTTGTTAATTGTCTTCAGATATAATTATGGGCCAATACTGCTGTGACAGCTGTAGCCAATGTTGTATGTTCTTAAAGCACAGGGTTTAGTTTAAAAATAATGAATATAATAAAATATAGTGTGACAGTGCAGATATGCAAAAGATTGTAATGTTTTATATTAACCTTCATAAAATATTAAAGTGAGTTTTTACTTTTCTAATAAAGTGGCACATTATAACGTGTGTTTGTCTTTTGCCTGTGAGTCTTATTGCTGTACACAGGATATCAAACCAGGCAGTGCTACAGTGTCGGTTGTTACGGCTCTGTAGCAGCCTCGCAGTAATAACCGAAGCTTGCAATAAATGCAGCTTGTGTTTGTGTAAAATTAAGCAATAAACCAGAAGTGTCTGAGCTCTGCAGACATCATAGAGCAGATTAGATAAAGAGGCATTCAGGTGCCTCCAGCTGGAATACAAAGAGGAGTGTTATTAGTAATAACTGTTCTTTGATAACGTCTGTGAACCACACATTTTCACCAGGCACCAGATATTACTTGATGTAGTGAAATCAAATATTCTGCAGTCTGACTATGCCTGTCAGTGTATGTTATGCACATGAAGTGGACACAGGAACACTGGAAATACAGATATATTACAAATATTACCTTTATTAAGCAATGCAGAAGCACATTATAATGCAGCCAGGTCAATGTCACAAACATACCTCAATATTATCTTACATTTAAATCAAGCACATCCCTTAAAACTGAACGTTGCTTCATAAACCTTAATATTTACTGCAGGGCTGTTGCATTAATTTGAACAGGGTTCATGCAACCGTGTCCAGACACTATTATATTACATCTGGATTGCTGCAACTAAAGGATATGGATAGCTTGTCGACAAAAAAGGGGGTTTATAACTTGTGGGGGAGGATATAGTCTGATTAAATGTGTTAATTTCATCGATTTTAATACGATAGAGAAGTGTTGTTCATGTGAGTGAAACGTGATCCGTTAAATCGCCATTTGACTATCAAAAAAGCATAAATGCGCAGTTTGTTTCTGAGGCCTACAGGCTGTTTTTCCTCCGCTCCCCCTCGCTTGCCTCGCACACCCGGCTGTTCGTCGTCTACAGACACCGGCCGGTAAACTGAAGGCCACGCCCCCTCCTCTCCTCCACCCACATTACTCGGATTAGAAAAAAAACGTGATTGACACGGTCAAACCAGCCAATCAGACGCCTCCTCGCGGTGGACGCGTGCCAAAGTGTAATGTTTATGTACGCTGCGGACCAATGGGAGCGAGGCAGAGGGGGCGTGGCATTCGTTTGGAGAAAAGAGGCAAAACAATCTTTTTTATCCTCCTGACCGGGCGGCTCTTTGGATATCCTGGGTAATGGTGGTGGCAAACTTTACATGTAGGCTAGAATAGAAGTTAAAGACACAGATAGTACCTATCGACACGCGACAATCCTGGTTAAATGTATCTAACTCCAGCAATTTGCACTAAAATCTATAGAAAGCTGGTTTTCTTTCTTTAGTCTCCCCCTCGCCCTGCCTGAGTATGGATTCCAAATACATGTTGGAGCAGTCGTCGGTTGGGACAAGGGTCGGTGGTGCGGATTTTAACTGCCGAGGAGGCCACTCGGTGCTCCGCGACACCCGGGTGGAGAAAAACGGTCCCGTGCCGGTGTACTCCAACGGGCCCGTCTTCTACAAATATGTAATGGACGCCGGCTCGGTGTCGGAGGTTAAAGGCGAGCGAACGTCTCCTAAAGGGAACGGACTGTCTCCGGGTGCTCGAATATTGCACGACGTGGAAAAAGTAAGTGTCGTTTATTGGTTTTAAAAAGTGTGCACGCGACTCCATTAGCCGGTGAAGTCAACTGTGCACCCAAGTTACAGCACAGCTAATATGGAGCGTGTAACGTTATGTCATTAGGCGGTGTAACGTTAAGTTTGACAGCTCTCACGCGCCGCTGCTTCGTTTTAACGGTTAAAAATACGCGACCGTGAAGCACACACGAGACTACTACTACTTTATATTGTGTTGTATTGTGTGTTGAGCACCGCCTTCACAACTCTTAGCCCACTTTTTTTTAAGTGACAGAAATTTCACCAACTGCTGTCAACGCTCGCTCCTAAGTAGGCCAATTACGTCGTATCAAAAACCGCTTTAAATGGCGGCTCATTCTGTGTGCAAAGTTTACAGAAACGGGGGGCAGGGACTTCAAACTACTAGCCTAGCCAAACCCCCTTCCCCATAACTGTAGGGTGGAGCTACAGCCTGGGCTTCCTGGCTGCACAGCTCGCCCCGGCTCCTCCAACGCTACCCAACTAGTAATGACACTTTTTGGAGGAGACATGCGATATGTTTGCAGTATTTTGTTTGCATGCTGTTGTAACTTGAATTGCATGTTTGTTTTTGCATTGCATTATGTGGCCCGTGTGTGCAACTGTGTGTGCTTTGCAGGGTCAGTAATTTAATCATGTCATGTGTTAATAATTGACCCCGCAGCATCAGAAGTGCACAGGTGGCGAATTGCCACACCCGCTTGTGATATGGATCAGATAGCAGTTTATTCAAATAAGTTTGGTGAATTGCTGTCTGTTTATTTTAACAAGGAGGTTGAAGGTTTTGGGGATGAACATTTGAAGATATTTATTTAGCCTATACATAGATATACAAAAGCTGATCAATCAGTTAGTCAAATGATAGTTATGATGGTTAATTTAAAAATCTAGCTGTAAGACAAGGAGAATTTCTTAACATTTTACTGACTCAGATTTGTGATTACATATTAAGTAATCATTAGTTGCAACACTCATTTTATCATGATGATGTTTCTCATTTAAGACAATTTTCTATTTAAATTGGGATATAAAACAGCTTTTAATATAAAGCAAGTCATTCAATCACACTCACACAGTTTCTATTCATTGCTCAAGCTTTTACAGTATTTCTTGAGTAGGTGTGGCCCGGTGTTAACGCCATGCTAATAAATTAATTTCAGGGTTTCTGTGATCAATCAAATTATAAATCTATGGTTTAAAAACTGCAAGAAAGTCATGTAAAGCCATTTAATTTTACTAGTGAAAGTGTTGATGCTCTTTCTGTCACATATTATTCAACACTTCTGATATAGACATGCTGATTATTGCCTTCAATATGATAGACTGACCTTTGTGTTTCTCATTTTCTAGACTGGCCTTGGGGACCAAAAAGACACTGGCTCCTCTGGGATCTTGAAGAGGGCCAGTCCGACTCACTGCCCAGGCATAAACGGGCAGTCGCCAGGCGGCTTCATGCACTTGGACATCAGGAACCCAGGGAAACAGGCAGAGCTGGCCAACAACTTCAGGGCAGCACAAGGGCGGAACGTACCACCGACAGAGAGACAACCCCTCTCCTCGTCTCACATCCCTGTCCCCAGAAACAGGTAGAGACCTGTTACACACATGACCCCCTCTTGTATCTTCATATTTAGGTTTATTAATAGTGCTGTAAAGTAAAAGAGACACCACTTCTGAGCAATACAGTCATATGATGTGAGTAAAGAGTTGGCCTGGCATCTAAACGTGTTTTTGACAGATATAAAATCAACCCCATCATAAACTATCAGACCTAATTTTGTGTGCATGGCTCTTGTTTCTGTTCATCCCAGTCCAGGGCAGGGTTCTTTGTACATGGATAACCGAGTTGTCCAGATTAGAGTGTTGTTGATTTGACACAAATCAGTTTTATTTGATTTTTTGAAGCTGGTTTAATTTATAAAACAGGGGTAGACTTATTGACAGTCAGCAGGATCATGACCAAGATGTTTTACTGAGAACCACGTACATGAAGTCATTTTCAATTACAAATGGCTCGCTTTCTTAGATTTAAAATCAAAATGTTGATTATGATTTTAGAAGACAACATGCAGGTTATTGAGAAGTCAGAGTTACCTATAGACCTACTTATGTGATGAAATATTACCAAAATCAAGGTCTGCTCTGTACCCGACAAAGATAACCAACCCAAATGTAGTTTGATATACTGTGAGCAATAAAACTTGAACAAAGCCTAAAGATTCAGACTGATAAAAGACCAGTGGAGCCAGAATGGCATTTTAAAATGTATTATTATTGTTGTTGCTGCTGTCACAAAGACAACAAGACAGCTTTTACTTTTCAGATTACTCACTAGGTGACATGCTTCCTTTGTGCTGTAAATTGAATCTTCATTTTCCCTGAAGATCAAACTTGTTGGCAGACAGAATTGCGTAGTAAAAGCGAAGCTTATAGGAAACCAGTTATAACCAATTATATCATTATTCTCTGACCATCATATTGTGCAGTAAACATTTAATAATACTTAAATTTAAAAAAACATGTCTATTTCCACTTTAATCTGACATTAAAATTTGTCATTTAACCAATAAAACATATTAAATTATCAAGTGTGGAACTCAATTTGCTGAAAAATATTGCTCAGTTGTTTTTTAAGAGGTTTTAGTAAGGTAACAGTTTCATTGTAGGCTTATAATATTTCTTAAAATTCTCTTGAATGTCCATTGAGGAGAACTTCACCAATCATGCAGCAATGTCACTTTACCACATTCACACGTAATATCTAATGTAATTACTGCCTATAAACAGTAGAAAGATGGTGAAGCACAGTGTAGGACAAATAGACACACGTAACAATGCTGGTTCACACATAAAAATGAGACTTATGTCCATTAATCTATTGCCCCAGTGCATGCTGGGAAGGTTCCCACCACACCTACTGTGCACACACCAATCAAAAGATCAACTCTCTGCTCATTTTTCTTTTAATTTTGAAATAAGAGCACAGTGTTGTTCGTGATAACTTCATCAAGGATTAACAACTAAATCCTCAAACTGCTTTCAAAGCACCCAAAATTGGCCAGATGAGAATAAACAGGATTATTGTAGCCTGATAACAGCGTGTTAGCCTGAATTAGTTCAGCCACATTTGAAGAGCAGGTCCCTGAAGCTAATTTGACACTGAATGTGTGGTGATAAAAATAATCGACATTAGAATTTTTATGTGTTTGACTCCAAACCTGTGTTCCTTAACAGAGTCTTGACTGAAAGTGGAATTCAGCCGCTGGCTACAGCTGTACAGTGGTTTGGGCATGAATGGTGTGGGGGCGTACTGGTCAGCTGACCACATGTTTGGTGTTCCATCAAGAATAGTTTCGAAATGTGCCATAAGAGGGCCAGAGCTGGAGGTGAGCGCCAGAATTCCCCAATCACTTGAGGAGAGGAGAATATACAGGAAGAGTGAGGTAGTTAGAGTATGTTAGTGTAGTGTAACCAGTTAACTACATGCAGGAAAGTTTTTGCTAATCAGGTTTCAATGTCTTGCTCGACTGCTTCTAAGCCCAACACTATCCCTGTTGACCCTCTTTTGACAGGCCAGGTTAGCGACTGTATCAGTGTGATGTGCTCCCGATGTGTCAGGCAGGAAGCTTTGTTGTGTGCGAGTGTTTTTTGTTTGATGTTTCATGTGCAGTGCAGTGACTTTTTGCTGCCATTGTTTGACGTTATTTTCAAACACGGACACATGCACGTTTGTGCTCAGGACATTCGTTGACAGTCCTTAGGCAAACTTTCCTGCTCACACAGACTGTTTCACACAGAAGAAGCAGAAAATTCATCCAGGGACAGGCCTAGTGCACCGATAAGTGATTATGTAACAGTAATAAGGAGTGGGAGAGACTGGAGGCGGTGCCTGAGCAGAGTTTCCGTCATTTTACACAGCTATTGGTTACTGTCTGTGTCAAGCTGCTGTCGGCCTGTCAGAGGGCGCTTACACATTAACAGAATGCCCTGCGGTGGTACAGTTAAGTCTAGAAACCGAGCAGCTCCTTGTTAACTCTGCATAGTAACATGATGACTTTTTTTCTGAGCCTCTGTATAAACATTTTTAGAAATTGAAACTGATCGGAGTCCATCAACAAAACAGGTTTCAACTCCTGAGAGTTTGTTTGAGAGTAGGCGTGGCGTTTAGGAGTTTTGGGGGTTTAAACACCACACTCCTTTCATCATCACGTGAACTTCACGTGCTGCTGGTCATGTATGACATAAAGGAGTGTCTCTGGGGAGCATGCAAGACTGAACATGCTTTTAAATCAGAGTTGTGCGTGTGTGTGTATGTGTGTGTGTCCACCACAGACAGCATTGCTGCTCTTCTCACCTCTCGATCTAGGTCTTAACTAGACTTGAAACATGTCTTTTCTACAGCATGTTGATGGCTATCTCAGCACACTGCTACCATAATAACAAACTGAGTTGACACTCCGCAGCTGCTGAAAGAGGTTGCATAACATTATATAACTGTGTGGTGGTCATATTAGCCAGGCCTCTTTTGTTGACCTTTCAGATTAACTCCCTGTCTTTACCCTGCTCAAATTGGCTTTTGTTTTGCAGCTGGTGACAAGAGGCTCCCTTCTCTTTGCCATTATTCACATTTTAGTTTAAACTAATTTAGCATTGAATCTATTTTTGGGAAATGACTATGTTTGCTTACATTATCATCCCAGCTCTGCCTGTTACCCAGATGTATGTGCATGTGGTTTTCATCATACATTTATAAGAGGAGCTTGAAAATGGACTGTAGTTGCCATGCAAACCCACTAACAGTTATTAGGTGCAAGCAGCAATTGCACCAAGTTGCATTGTTGCAACACACTCACACACTTTTGGACTGCAGTGCAAGGCTCCTACTTTTCTCCAAGTAATGGTCACAGTGGCAAGGTTGTGTTTGACATCCCAGTATGTGTGTGCACATCTGTGTGCGTGGGTGTGACCCATTGTGCGTTTGCTGCAAACTGTGCCCTGCTTTGGCTAATGTCAACACAACCATTTATTCTCCTTTGCTCCCTACCAGTCTGGGTAATACCACCATTGTGTTACAGGATAAAATATGTTTAAAGAGACATTAGCGATAAAGCTGTTGCTCACCTCTGTGTGTTTTACATGCACCACTGTATCAGTTATGTATTGTTTCTCACATACAGCACAGTGCTTTCACACCTCGACTTGTCGGTTTGCAAATTCTGCAAAGTAGGTCACTATCCTTTAGACAAGCCTGGGCAAATATCTGTGTAGGAAGAAAGAGGAGGAACCAATATATGAACTCACAACAAAACTACTGTATTTTTAAAGGGCCAGTTCACCCAAAAATCAAAATACATATTTTTCCTCTTCCCTATTATAGTATTCATTGATCTAGATTGATGTCTGTCTTCTTTTGATTATAATGGAGCTAGATGGCACTCAGCTTGTGGTGCTCAAAGCATAAAAAAATACATTTGAATAAACTCAACAGCAGTGTCTCTTTCCAGAAATCATGCCCTGGTTACTCAAGACAATCCGCAGACCGCGTTGTGAGCAGTTTCACATAGGAACTATTTTCTTTCTACCGAGCTACATCTGGTAACTGTATCACCACACGGAAAGAAGCATGCATCTACTCACAGACAAAAGGCCTGTGACAGCACAAGATGTGAACATTAATAGCGGCCTCCTCGGCTGGGCTGTAGCATTAGCTAGCTCTGTGGTGCTACGTAAGCTACCAATAGGTGAACACTTCCCTCTGTGTGGTGATATGGTTGCCGGGTGTAGTAATGTAGTAAGAAAATAGTTCCTAAATGAAACTGTTCCCAGCCACCCAGTGATTGAGTTGTGATTTCTGGAAAAATACATTGTCGTTGAGTTTTTCAAATTTATTCTTTGCTTTTTCAGCAACACAAGTCAAGTGCCTTCTAGTTCTATAAAATTCAAAAGAAGGCAGACATCTCTACTGCAGATATCTCCAACGTACACGCACACCGAAACAATCTAGAGTGATAAACAGCACAGAATTGTCCTTTTTAAGCTCTCCCAACCTCTTGCCCATTTCACCTCTGTGTCTGTCTCTTTTCCTTGCTCTGTCTCTGATTAAGTCTCTCTTTCACTCACACCCTAAAGCAGAGCTCGTTCTACCTGTCAATACTCATCAGTGTGGGATCGAGCGCACTGATAACGGAACAAAGGCAAGCTTGAATTAACAACAAAAAAAGAGGTCTGACAAAATGAAGAGGGGAGGGGGCATTTTGTTTTGATGTGAAAAGCTTTTCTTTCTTATCTGTCCTTGGTCAGGTACACTGTCACCACAGTGAGCTAACATGAATAGAAAACACTGAGTCCGCATAAACAAGACACCAGAGCAACCAACTGCAGTGAGGTGGGTCGGTGATGGGGTGGGGTGGGGTGGGGTGGGGTGGCTCTGTTTTTAACATAATTACTGCCCAGCCTTTGAGTCAGTTTGCTAAGAGTCACCAGGATGGTTTAGGCGAGGCCGGCAGGCAGGCTGGAGCAGAGTCCACCACTTCTCCACCCCCATCCGATCACCCCACCACCAATCCTCTTCTCCCAAAGGAGACAT